TTTATATTTGAATGTAGTACAATGATACAAGTAATTACTGGAATGCCCTGATTAGTGATGGGACACAACTTAAAACATTAAACAGGCTTAGGCCCATTAACACAGGCCCARTTACARGATAACTTAAACTTAAGTATGGGCTAATAAGAACTCTTATCAGCCGAACACTCATAGAAAGAGACTTCATTCTAACATTCTAACAGTTATTAATACCAAGTCTTCATTCGTTTTGCACAGCTAGCTCCACCTTATTAGGAGTTCTAGCCTATATATCCAATTTGTTACCTTTTTCTGTTTTTCATTGTTGTCCTTGAGTTAATTCTCAAACAACATATGTCCTTTTTCTGTTTTACACCCTTGCAAGGAGAAGGGTATACTATTTTGGGTGTTCTGTTTCTTTTTAATTTTTTAGTATTTTAATTATTTTAGTTGGACGCTTATATTTTCTTTGGTTAATTGTCTTGGTTGCTTTGTTTGTTTCTGTGGGGGGAAGAGAGAAAGAGTTTTGCATCAACTTGGTCATACAAAGAAAAGATAGGGAAAGGATGTTTAATTGATTTGTTCTATTTTCTTTCTATTTTATGTATCTTGATCTTTGTAATCATGCTTGAACTTGATTTGAAACTCTTGAAATCCTGTTGCTATTTGTTGGTGATAGTTATGCATATGGTCAATGTTTGGCTTTGCTGTTGGGTTGCTAACTGGGTATGCTATTGGCTTGGACTTTGTTTATCAACTAAAGACCTCTCCAATTTTGGGTTGGTAGACCTGGATGATTTTTCTATCTGTGATTGTTGTAATCATATTTTCTTTTGTAACATTTGAGTAAATTATTGTGTTGGTTTTCACAAATTCAATATCATAAATTGTATCTTACTATTCAATTTAATTGCAAGAATGTTCAACCTCAATATGATTGTCACCCAAATATTAAGGTCTTTCTTTGGATTTCAGGCGGGTAACTCTCTGACCTATCAAAAAGCTAGGCTTCTCTTTTATGGAATCTCAACCACTATCCAAGTTTGGCCACATGAAAGTGAATTGTTCTATCTTTAGATTGATTTTATCTTCATTATCTTTTTCAAGAGTTTTTTTTTTTCCTTGAAACAAAATTTTATGTGAGAAATATTTATTTATTAAATGATATTCACTTCTAGCATTCTTTGACGATGCAAATAGGAAGTTACACCTAAGGCGCTTACTGAGCGTCTCAAGTAATATAAACTGATTAGTTGAATTGAATATATACTTCAAACATTTGAATAATCTACTTATTAATATTTGCACGTTGAATATCAATTTGTGTAAACGCACAGGTTACTTGACCAAATTTCAGAAACTAAGCATTGATAGACAATTTACTTGTCATGCAACACCATTTTTTGAATAGGCATTATTATCTTTACTCAATGATTATCAGATTCATTCTTTTCTTCTATTTCTTCTTAACCTATATGCAAAACATATCGTAGAACACAACCCAAGGTATCAAATACTTTGTACTGCCCTTGTATCGCAGGGGCCTTCCGGCTTCTGTCAGAGCAGGGTGCATACGTGCACCATTCGCATAGGATGAGGATGCGCCACGCGTCCTGTGCCTCGTGTGCATGCTTCAAGCGTGCGATTGGAGTAAACGCTGTTAGGAGACCTGACCTGTTCTCACTAGATTCCTACTGTTTTACAAGGTTCGAGCTTGAACTCGAATAGTACCAGGTTCAAGCTCGGTTGAAACCTAGCCAAGCCAAATTTTTCACGAGCTGAGATCGAGCAACTCGTGAAAAGGCTCATTGCCACCCCTACTTGCCACATCAAACCAAACCTTGTTCATGCTCACTCTCTCCCTCCCCAACTGAAGGCGACTAACAGCCATCACCGGCAACTGGAGAAAAACCCCAAGTATTCCTCTCTTTTCGTTTTTTTCTTCCCCAAACATACATCTCTTACTTTGTGCAGTATATGGGTTTGCTCTTCTGCCAGGGATTTTTGTTCAAGGAGTATAATGTGCTCCTCTGTGTCAACTATCAGCTTCTGGGTTGTTGTGCTTACAGCCAGAAACTCAACTTCGTGCTCCTCTGAATGTCGCTAGTCGCCGGTGAAACAGTTGCGGATGATGCAATGAATATGACTGCATCCAAACTGGTTAGGGTCGGGTCTTTCATGGCAAAGATGCAATGTTTGGGAAAGAAAACATGAAAAGAGAGGAATACCTGGGGTTTTTCTCCAATCGCCAGTGATGGTTGTTGGTCATCGCCGGTTGGAGAGGGAGAGAGTGAGTATGAACAAGGTTCAGTTTGGTGTGGCGAGAGATTGAGAGTGAGAGGAATCTAGCAAGAACAGGGCTCTTAACGGCATTTACTCCACTCGCATGCTTGAAACACGTGTACGAGGCACAGGACACGTGGCACGTCCCCATACTGCACAAACGATGTGCATGCACCTGTCTTCATAGAAGCCGGATTCCTTTGCTAGTTTTTAGTAGTTGCCATCATTGTCATCATCTTCTAAACCTTGTCCCAATCATATGGGTCCATTACGTGAATCCTGTTTTACCATTCCATTATGTTCAGTGTTATTGACAAATATTTTTCATTAATTCCACCTAAGTCCTTTTTGCCTGTTCCAGACTCTTCTAATTGATCTGCATCTCCTCCCAACCAAAAAATGTTTCAATACATTCTAACATGATCCATGTTCATACATCTCATATATGGTGGGTCCTTGTCTTGTGGTGAGATGTGTAGAGACAAATCATGTTGGAAGAGTGAGAAAATTTATTAGGAAGGAAGAAAAAGAGAAAAGAGATGAGACAAATCATGTTGAAAGAAAAGAGAAATTTGTCAGAAATTTATCAAGAAGGAAAAAGAAAAAGAGGAAAGAGAAAAGAAGGGGTTTATCAAGAAGGAAGAAAAAGAGGAAAGAGAATAAGAAGAAAAAGGGAAAAGAAGAGAGAACGTTAAAAGAGTGTTTTGTAGCTGAACAAGAATATTAGGGCTTTTCCACTTTCATTTCAAATTACATTTAAGCCCTTGATGTTAAAAAAGACAAGAATGTCCCTCAAATCAGCGGATTTCCCACACAACACCCCCCTCAAGTTAAGCATAAATATTATGCATGTTGTGGTTGATTAGATTTTCTTCCAGATTAATTAGTCAAATTACCTACAAGATGATTGCATGATTTCACGAAAGGCAAACATATTTCCCCACTAGTTACCCTTTTATGAATGAAATGCCTATCAACTTCTATATGCTTTGTGTGATCATCTTGAATTGGATTATTTGCAATATTAATAAAAGATTGCTTGTCACAAAATAATTTCATAGAACAGTTAAAAACAACCCCAATTTTTGTTGAAGGAGTCCTTAGCTAAAGAAACTCAAAAACCCCATATGGTTTTTGTCTTGTATCCATTGTGGTTTGGATCTATAGTAATGTTTATGTGTTTAGCACCAAGTTTGCATATTTCCTTTTGTAGATCTAGAACATATTTCCTTTGAGATATAAAGATACCTCTTTTCAATCTTGTATCTCAATCTCAAGGAAATGTTTGAGGCCTCCAAGATCTTTAATGTTAAATTCCGTGGACAAAAATTGCTTTGGTTGTTGTATTTCATGTTTGCCATTTCCAATGATAACAATATCATCCACATATACAATCAAGACAGTCACTAAATCTCCATTTCTCTTAATGAAAAAAAGTATGATCAACATGGGATTGAGAGTATCCATCTCTTTAAGAAGCATTTTTAAATCGGTCAAACCACGGTAAAGGAAATTGTTTTATGAAATAGATTTTTGAAGCTTACAAACTTTCCTTCCACTTCTAGGGATAATTACAACAAGAGAGAGATCTATATACACCTCCTCTTGTAAATCACCATTCAAAGGAAAAGCATTATTAACATCCATTTAATATAGAGGCTAAAAGAAGTGAGCAACAAGAGATCAAAACTCAGATAGTGTTTATCTTGGTAACTTAAGCAAAAGTCTCGATATGATCAATGCCATAAGTCTAGATATATCCCTTAGCTATAAGATGGGCTTTTATACCTCTCAATAGAGCCATCAACATTATATTTTATTTTGTATACCTACTTACACCTAATTGTCTCCTTTCCCTAAGGGAACTTGACTAACTACCAGGTTTGATTCCTTTCCAAAGCCTTCATTTCTTGATCCATAACTTTTTTCCAACATGATTGTTCAACAACATTTGAAACATTCTTGGGAATGGACATCGAAGACAAGGTTACAAGAAAAATAAGGTATGAAGGAGATAGAGATTCATAAAACACAGTTATAAATAGGATAAGGAGTGGTAGTAGATTGCAGAATACACTTTTCGCAAGACTATAGGAAGATCGAGATCACTAAGTTCACCACCTTCAACATGGGCACTAGAGATCTCAATATGATCAACAATAAAGTCAAAAAATAATAACATGATAATCACAAGTAAGAACAAAATGAGGAAAAAAGTTACTTGAATCCATGGAAACACACTAAGGTGGACAATTAACATTTAGAGCCACCCATTGACATTCGTTCCTAATATAGGTTTTCCTAAAAGTTTGTTGAGACTTATCTCCCACAAGGAGTAAGAGAAGATATATGCTTCTCAGGAGGAACAAAGGTAAAAACAAGTGGAATTAGGATTGAAACCAAGATAGGAGAAGATGATGAAAAAGAAAGTGACATCTTTAGATACAAAACGTTTTCTAGAAGAAGAATCATAACATTTGTAACCCTTTTGAGTACAAGAATATCCAAGAAAAATACATTTAATGGCTTTTGGGTCGAACTTGACACGAAAAGGGACAGGTCATGAATAAAAAAACACATCCAAAGACTCCCAATCAAAGACTAAAGATGGGAGAATCACCATACAACAACTAATGTGAGTATTTTGACTGGAGAACTTTAAAGGGAAGCCTATTGATCAAATACACTGTATCTTGTACTACACCTCCCCTAAAGCGAGTAGGAACATTCATTTGAAATAATAGACCACTGAGCTAATTTCAACCACGTGTCTTTTTTTTCTTTGTGCAACTTCATTTCGTTGAGAGGTTTGAACATAGGAATTTTAGTGAATAAACTCCCTTCTTCTCAAGAAATTAAACAAAGCCCTTTTCAAAATATTCCTTAGAATTGTTTGATCTAAAAATTTAAATTTGCCTCTCAAATTGAGTTTCCACCATGTAAACATTTTTGATAACCTATGACACTTCATAATATTTGTAGCTTCTCCATGCTTGCAAGAGAATATAGCCTCCCATGCTTCACGAGAAAAAAATTACACAACAATTCAAAGACTTTGTAAGAGAACTAATAGACAATAAATTTACATGAATCCGAGGAAAATGAAGAATAGAACTAAGTGAGAGATCATCAACTAGCTTAACATCTCCCTACCAGAAATAGGGGTATGGAACCCATCTACTAAAGTGATTTTCTCTCTTCTAGAGGACAAATGATAAGAATAGAAACAAGTAGACATGCCTGTCAATGTTGTCATATGGTCAGAGATATTGGAGGACCGATGGGATCTTAGAGGTATTGATTTTGTTGTTAATCTCTAAACTTGTAAGAAGCTAACTGAGTTCAGTCCTAATAGAATTTAAGGACTCTCCATGTCTAGGAGCCACAGGTTAAGTTGTAGTTAAACTCTTAGAGCTAGTGGCAACATGAACACTGCCTTTCTTCCCTTTGTGTTTAGGTCTCATACAGTAGTCACACACAATCTCATAGCCTTCAGTTATCTAAGCACCCTTTGATTTTTTACTAGGCTTGGGCTTAGATGACACCAGTATGATTGAATGTTCAATGGGAAGAGAATGCATCATAGATGCCCTGCTACTTTCTTCACCTTGAACCAAAGAATAAGGAGATAAAAGTGTGATAAAATTGTTACTCGGAATATGTTGACGCTTAAGATCATATTCCGGATTCAGCCTAATCAAGAATTCAAAAACCCTGAACTTCTCATTGTGCTTCCTATACTACTCTCCGTTAAAGGAATCTCTCCTCTCGTAGTGATTGGAGAGTGAAGAAATATAATGGCACAGATTTCTCCCCCTATCGAAGATTGTTTTGGGAATAAGTAACAAAAACTACTATATCCCACATTTCTTTTGCTATTGATAGAAACATGTAGTTCCCAACAATGTGTGGCTGCATGGATCCAACCATCCACGTCATGATTGTGAGGTCTTCTTGCTTCCATCTAGGGAACTTAGGATCTTCAGGAGAAGGCTTCTTCTCATCTGCAGTTAGATACCCATCTTTCCCACAATTGCCAATATACATTTTTGTGAATTGAAACCATTCTAAAATATTGCTTCCATCGAGGTTCACTGAGGTGAGTTGGAGACTAAGACTGTCACCAAGTCTAAACAAGTTTCCAGGTGTCTCTTCACACAAACACCAACCGAGGTCCCAACAGTCACCACAAGTCTAGCATAGCAAATAAGGCTGCGTTTGGAAATGATGCAAATGGAGTGTAAATCCGGTTTAGGGTAAAATTGCACTGTGGTTCATTTTTGCTTGTGTTTGGTAACATTACATTAATGCATTGACAAATGATAGAAAACAAATTTTTCAATGCATATTTACATTGATAATAAGATGTAAAAGTACATTAATAAAAAAGAAGTAAATTTGCATTCAAGTGGGCTTTTGATTAAAAAAAGGCATATGCTTTATTGTAATTTGTATTTAAATCCATTATAGCCAAATCTGTTTGGTAAGAAGGTAAATTTGTCAGTACAAAACTAATCCAACTTTGCAATTTATATGAACCGTTTTACACTCTACATATTTGCATTCACACTTATTTGCATCATTTCCAAACACAGCCTAAAGCGCAAATAAGACTTAGGTGGCAAATATTAAGGAAAAAACAGGTTATGGGAAGCTCAAAACTCCACCAAATCAAGTGAAACCATTTTTGGTGTGCCCACAAATATCATACGGATCACCTAATCCAGAAGCCACTGGTTTAAAAAATCTCAACAGCACCAAGGTTCATCATGAAGGTAACAAGAGTGGCCCTCAAAGTAACAAGATTTCTCACACAACAGAGTGTTGGGACAGTTTTTGTTGGGAGGAGATCCCAAACACTCTTCTAGCCCCCTTTAACTTGCTAATTGTGTCATTTTAGAATTTTAGGAAATTGTTAAATAAAAGTTTATGCTTAGATATATCCTAGGCAATGGTTACAAATATTCAATAGCTCTTTTTTCATAAAAACTAGGAATACTTGTAATAAATAATCAATAAGGAATACTTTGTCATTATAAAAGGGGGTATCCGTTGTTTTTGCACGAGTGTATAAAAAATTGAATGTGCCTAAATCAACTCTAATTTCATTTAGACAGAAATAATTAATTAGTGTTATTGAAATAAAATTAAAATGTCACTAATGATGTTGAACAAACTTGGAGATTTTTGTAAAAAATCAATTTTAATGTTATCCAATACATACTTTAAATAAATCACATTGAGTTCATGCTCCTTTGTATGCTATTAACAAAAAAATTGGGTCATTTAGTTCCACGTGGCAAGTTAATTTGGGGCTGAAAAGAAATCCCCAAATTTCTCGCCTCATCCTTAGATTCATGAAAGAAATTCAGATCAAAGGGTAAAAATAGAAGGCTAGTATTAAACATTAATTGATCTCACTCCTACCTAAGGTTGGAATTGGGCTGAAATGGGGTATGTGGTGAAGCTCTGGCCCCAATAGGAAACCTTCCTCTTTAACAAATTTTCTTTGCCAATACATTTGCATTTTTTCTCATTTTTTTAATACACACATATCTTTGTATGTATGTATGTTAACACATTTATGCATGGTTTATATAAGCAATTATAGGGAATATGAAGCCTAATTAAGCCTGTTGGGTTCCTTCCTAGATGAGAGTGCAGGAAAACTGCTTCAAATGCAAGAAGAATTGTGAAAACTGAATACTAATTTTTACTAGTATTCCTCTTTTCTAAGAGGGTATTCGGTACAGTGATGTATTTTTGGGTGATTAATACAAATTTGTGAGTGGGATTTTTTTACCTGAAATGTTGTGAGACATTTTTAATTGATTAGTACATGTTTTCCTAAAACATCAAATTTGATGTTTCTCACGCATGCATTTTTCTGGTTGAAATGACATTTGTAAATGATGTGGCAACACATATTTCTCAAAAATTTGTATCGATCAATTCAAAACACAATGTCAATATACCAAACACCCCCTAAGTGTCCTAAATTTATAATTTGAAAGACCTTTACGAAGGGGTGCTTATTTAGGACACGTATAAAAGTACTACACTAGAACTTACAGCATGAAAAGAGGAAGGGAAAGAATACTCTTGATGCTTTTTAGGGCCCAACCATCCTGACTATTGAAAGCTTGAAGTTCATTCCTGTCTAACACTGTATTCAGTTACAAAGAAAACGGAAGAAAGGAAAAGAAAACCCATAAGAAAATGGATTTTCTTAGTTTGGGTTACAAGCGAAACCAAGGAGAAAAAGAATGCCGACCAAAAGGGTTCAACTATGATATGGAAAAGACATGATATCTGAAAAACAACAAACCAATAAACTGGAATCATAAACATAATAGCGAATAAGGTATTGTTTATCAAAATTCATGGGTGAGTTTTGATTGATTAAAATTCTTTCCATACCATATCTTTTCTGCATCATAGATTTTCCCCGAAAAGAAAAGAAAAAAAAAAAAAACTACAAAGGCAAATTTCTCTTTAACCTCTTTTATTTTCTCTCCTTAAAAGCAGAAAAGGCAAATAGTGTGAGGTGAGAGGAAGCAAAACTGGCCTTCCTCTCTTCAAGGCTGCATTCAGTTCCTTTAAAAGGAAGTTAATGGAGGGTTCTAAGAAAGTTCTCAAGAGGATTTTGCCACAACTTTCTCTTTCTCACTAATTTTTTAATGAACAAGCACAAACACCTGGTGTCTGCATTATTTTGTTAATACTTAATAATCATAAGAAAATGCTTTAACCATGGCCTGAGCAGATCCTCAAGGTACTCAATTGTGGCATAGGCAAGGCATTGCACTCCATCATTTGGACTCGTGGAATTCTATTAAAAATCTGTCTACCCACCAGCCTTGCAGTTATAGATTGGATATGGATCATTCACTTAGTGAACCACATGATTGGGAGACAAAATAAAAGGGCAGAGCAAATACAAGAAATGGTGAAATGTCATTGTAAATTGGTTAAATCAAGAGCATCTGCTTTGTGCTGCTATAATGCAAATTAAATCAAGTGATTTATCTGAACAAGATGTTTAGCAGACTCCCTATGATACTGTCTAGACAGCCATGCAAGGCGCATTTCACTATCATCCATAGTCATCCAAAGATCTCTTATGTCCCTATTTATAAACTTATCTAACGCAAACAAGTATATATCACTGTTCTTAGGCACCTGAGGAATCTGGTCTAGCAGGGCTTTGCATTCCACTATAGTTGGAATTCGACCAGAAATTTCTGCAGCAATGGTAGGGTATGATGATAGTGCAATGCAGCTCCTCTTCACTGCTTCCATTGCATCACTAATACGTCCTATGTTTGTAGAAATCTTTTGCAAAGCTGACACTTTCCTGCGCTTTACACCTAAGTTCGCTCCACCAATCGCACCCCCACATTGTGTAGGTGGCTCCAACTCATGGTTTCCTTCTCCCAATCCAATAGGATTTTCAGTTTGTTCCTCCTCCATTTGACTATTTGGAACATGTTCTGCTGACTCCTCAGTTTGGTCCTGCTCAGTTTGACTGTTTGGATCAGGTTCTGAGGACTCCTGATTCTGACTTAGCTGAGCCAAAGCTTCTGGGATGACTCCTGTTGGTGCACAAGCTCCTGTAGTTAAGGTGTCTCCAAACATGATTTCATATTCTTTTGCAAATTTCAGGCCAGCAAAACGAAACTTTGCAGCATTGGGGTTGACCTGAACAAACATTAAATTATTAAACCAATTTCAGAAGTATATGCAAAATGAATTCACGTAAGTATAACCCGTTACCTGGAGATGGCTCTCCCACCAATCATTGCTTGCAATAATTGTGTTCTTTTCATTATCCCACTCATGGCCAGAAGAATCTTTTAGTAACCGACACCATGTAGTCCAATCCTTTCTCAAATTTTCCCACTTATTTTTGAAACACTTTCTATCCCATTCAACTCCAAATTTCTTCCTAAAAGCATTCATCAAATTTATATAACCTTCATTGTTTAGATACGTAGTTGGCCTGTTTTGCTTCATAACCTCCTTAACACAAACATCAACAAAAAACCTGTGGTGATCATCTGTCCAATTCGCCTTAACAACCCTTTTCCTGGGAACCTTGTCTAGCTTTAACAATGAGACGGAATTTTGAGTGCCTGACATCCTTTGTCAAATTTTCTGTACCATTAAAATCATCAATGCATATCAAAAAAGGATGTCAAAATTACCTCATTAGTGTATTGTCCAAGTAATCTTGGAAACTATTAAATCCACATGTAATATTTCAACAGCATGCCCACATTCTGCCATAAAAGATCACTATCCACAAATATGTAAAATCAAGAAAAACTGCCAGCAGGTCCACCAATCATTACATACATTTAATTCTATGCAAATAGCAAATCATCACCCCTACAGTAGTAAATAAATAAATAGTCTAAACAACTTTGTCAATTCTAGTAATACCATTTTCTTCAAAGTCTACAAGAGAGTGAAGCCTAAATGCTTGCTTACCAGTCAAATTCATATCTAACAAAAAAAAAATCCAGTTTAAGGGGCCATTTGGTAACAACTTAGATGGCTGAACTGAATGATTTATTGCTTTTAGTGAATAAGTTTTTTGGGAGGTTCTGAACTCTTTAATGGCTGAAGCTGAAGCGAAGTTGATTACTAAACCCTTGAATTTTTATTATTTAAATATTTTATCCAATAAAAGACAAAACAATTGAATGGATTATTGCTTTGCCCTTGGATGAATAACTTTTTAAGTAGATTGTGAGCTCCTTAATGGCTGAAGCTTAAGTTGGGCTGGTTATTGTATCTTTTGAGTTTTTTTATTATTTAAGTATTTTATCCAATAAAAAACAAAGCAATGAATCATTTAGTCCATCCACTCCAGCCGTTATCAAATGACCCTTAAGACCTGGAGCAAAACTTCCATTTATAGGCAGATGACAAAGTGTAGAGAGCAACAAAAGTGATTTTCAGTCAAGTTGACTAATATTCAACCCACATTTTAGTTCAATGGTAGAAAAAAGCACCTCAACCATTTACAACCCAACAAAATTAATGCACTTTCAGTATTTAAACCACCAATTTGGTTCTCCATTAACAAGACCAATGACCTTAAAAAAACAAAAGATACCTAGAATTCTATATAAATGCATTGAACTGATCAGTAAGCTAAGAAAAAGGCCTTAAATAAACAAGAAAAATATGCAAGGTTGAAGACATTGATTCATTATCCTCATATTGTGGCCTGCTAACTTACTACAAACCTCTTATTCTTTTCAAAAGGAATAGACCAGACCTGAAATTATTGAATTTGCATTTTCAAGACATTCAATCCATGAGTTTCTCAACCAACTGAATTTCCAAATTGAAGTGTATCTTCACTCTATGTACAACCCAAAGATAAAATCAGTTGAAGAAATAAAAAAAGAACTAAAAATAAGGAGAGGAAAAGATAAGCTTCATCTCTATCATTATACAAGATAATCTTGTACAAAAATCTCTAGTATTCAATTAAAGATTTTATAAATACCATTGCAGTTAACCAAGAGGTCTTTAATTGCCACCATCCTGCAAACCTCGAACGTAAAAAGCACATTTGATATTCGTGGAATTAATCAAAACCAACATTAAAATTATCAGACTTAGGAAATTCTAAAGGGCAGTTATCCCTCTGTATTAAAAATCTCAAATAACTTAAAGATGAGATGTCTTAAAACCAGTGAGATTAAAATAGGATATATGTGCAATGGAAAATTTAATAATAATAGGAATAAAATTAGAGTAACATAGGATTGGAGACCAAAAGATAACTCAACTGTACTCTTCCATTACCTTGGATCAATAGAATTAGAGCATGACAGGCAAAATGGATAAGTCCATCCAAAGTCTTATGTGATAGATGGATACCACTTATGGTGAAAGAAAATTTTTATAAAACGTTTGTAAGGTAAGCATTGTTAGATCATATGTGGAGTAAAGTGGTGAGCCGTCAAGAAACAACATATCCAAAAAATGAGTGTGGTAAAAATACAAACATCAAGGTGAATAAGTGGGAAAGCAAGAAAGAATAGGATTAAAAGTGAATTCATCTGAAGGAACTTAGGAATAGGTCCAATAAAATGAGGGAAAGTAGACTAGGATGATTTGGTCACATGCAAGACCATCTACAGCACCTGTAAGAAAAACTAGTCTACTACAAGTTGAAGGGGGAGCTAGGGGCAGATCAAAAAGGACATGAGGTGAAGTAGTGAAAAATGATTTAAGATCTCAAAATTTAATAATAGATATGACACTGAACAAAATGGAATGGCAAAACAGGATTCATCTAGTTAACCACAAATAGTTGAAACAAGGCTTAGATGAAGATAATGATCATGAGACAAAAAAGAACACATGTGCTTTTTTAATTTAATATTTTAATAATATAAAAAGCACAAATATGATATTACTTCAACCATGTACTTTAGGTTATTACAACAAAAAAGCACACATAAAATCTCTTTCCCTTCCAAAACAATACTAAATGTGGATATACTGTTTCCCTGAATGTTGGGAAAGGTTTGCTACATCTTATTTAGACTAGTTGTGACCAATAACATTCAATAATATCCCAACTTGTTCATAAACAGTAATATATTGTCCATCTTTGATTAACCCCATTTGTTTCAATGCACCTTTTAACTTAACAAACAAATGCGGAGGCATCTCAAACATTTCCATGCACCTATTATCATTTTTCAAGATGGCATTGCATAAATATTCTGATCCGACCAAAATGTCATCATAGTCTGGTATATTACAATAGCATTGCATATTATTATAATGATAAATATTGTAATTTTCCTTTGTCGTTGCTGCAAGTATTGCATTAATGGCATTCTCTTATTCTTGTTCTTCTAACATGAAGGTCATAGTCACTTTCAACAATATATTCCTGGTTGGACTATCAACCATTGTTCTCTGACATATATAACATGTGTACTTTGGAATCATTAACACAACATGTTTAGATGGATCATCAAACACACAAAAAAAATATATAATCACAATCCCTTATCATATCCTAATATATATAACACATCATCCAAATATATATAATTACAATCCCTAATCATATCCAAGTTTAAGTGGATCACAAAACATAAAACAATTAACACTAAGATGGTCCCAAATTAAGAAACAAACAAATGGTACCACAATGGTCCAATACATAAACTAAGAAATTGTACAAAACTCTCATACAGAAAAAAGGCTACTTCTTAAGGATATCACTAATCCAATTCCGTCTAATATCTGGAGGCATCTTCATGTACCACTCCCTAGCAGATGCTTTCTCGAAAACCTCGAATAGTTTGCAATAGTCAATATGAGTAAGACCTTCCATGGTGTTTATCTCATCCAAGAAAGTAGATATCGAGTACTTGTCTGGTTTATCATTAAAGCCATTAATCGCATCCACTAACTTATCTATTCTTGCATTTGCTGCTTCATTTAGTTTATTGATTATATCAACAAAGTCAATGGTTATCTTCCTACGAACATCTCGGCGGGTGGTTGCAGTAGAAGACCACTCATCATCACTGTCATTAACATCACCAATGTCATGGGCCATAGGATTAAGGGATTCCTCAACAGGTTGATCATTATTAGAGACCTGCACCTCATCTCGAGGGGGGGATTGTACGCCACGTGCTAAGGATGTGCCAAACTGGCCAATAGCAATAGTGCCCCCAAATATAATATCAAGACGATCATACTCTGGACATCCTTTAGTACGAAACCTCTTTGCCTTGGGGTTAACCTAGCAAGTGAGAATAGATAGACACTAATCAATTATATCCAGAAAAACTAAAATAAAAAGACACAATACAAAACGAGTTTGGATAATACCATTAAATAGCTTTTCCAAGTGTCCGGAGAAGCTACAACAATCTTTTTCTCCTCATCCCAACCAAACCCAGTCTGACCAAACCTCAACTTCTTGAACTCTTTATACCTACTCTTAAGATCTTGTATCTTGTTACTGAATGACTTTGTGTTGAACTTCAGCCCAAGTGCCCTATAAAAACCAACCCGAACCTCTTTCCAAGCTTGGGTTTTTAGGCACCCTGCAACCATCCCACCATTCTGGACTTGTCGTACTAATAAATCTATGAATACATTTTCTTGTTGGTTGGTCCAATTAGCTGGACTAATTGGTGCATCATCAAATGGGATAAGGTTGGCCATACTAGTCGACATCTAAAATAGAAATAACACAACAATTAGGTCAATTATAAAACTACTGAGACTTTACATGCTACCATAAGATACGGATATGCTTCAATTACATAACATGCAAAAGAAGGGAAAAAACACTCCATCTAACAGATATCCACATGTGCAAGCAAAACAAACAGTTAATATTTATCTACAAATCCATACAGCATGATTAAGCATAAGTCGAAGAGTTAATTAATATTGCTGACATAGTTATATGAATTATTTTTTTTATGAATGTTATATATATATGAATTATTTTCAATAGCATTAATTAGAAAATTTTAAACAAACAAAAATCTAGATGATGAAAGACATGTTACACCTGTTGAAAGATGAAGTAATGACAAAATATAAAAAAAAAATACCTGAAAAACAATAATTCACATTCATCAACAAATTGCTGGTACTGTCCACCCTCCCTCCGCACACAAATTCAGACATAAAAAATAGCAAAAAATGAGCATCAATATGACATAAGTGAAGTGCGTGTGCATCCAAGACATCAGACAAATATGAATTAGAACAAAAATAAAGCCAACCTAACAAATCCAAATATCATTTACAAAAATTTTAACCAAATCTAAGACATCATAAAATGAATTATAAATAAAATGATAAAAGAAAATCAACTTAAAAAACTATAAAACCCAATACAATAGATTGACCGTATGCTTGATGGTTGCAATAGATCGAAGTACATCAAGCTAATTATAAATCTAATTTAAATCACTTAAAGTTAGAAGGAAAGAAAGGCTTTAAATGGTTTATCTTTTTCAGATTACAATAGTATGTCAGTTTAAGTTATGAGAAAATGCAGATGTACAAATCATGTGAAAACATTTCATAGAGCAAGCTTCAAATATTCTAATTTAAGCTCCCTAAATATCATATTTTCTAATTTGAGTTCATCCTATTCTTAATAAAGATCACACAATCAGATTTGAGTTCAGAAAACCCAGTCATGAGCTAATGCAGAAGAACAAGTCATGAGAAAATATTCTCTGAATATCACATATTCTGGTTTGAGCTCAGCCTATTCTTAATAAGGATCAATCAGTCAGATTTTATTTCAGCAAACCAGGTCATGAGGTAATGCGGAAGTACAAGTCATGCAAAAACATTCTACATTCCTTGAATATCACGTATTCTAATTTGAGTTAAGCTGTCCTAGTGTTCTTATTAAGGATAAATCAGTCTGAGGTCCAATTACATTCAAAAGTGGAAAGATCTATGTTGATGCATAAATGCTAAATCCAGCCAGAGATTATGGTCCAATTATTTTCAAAAGCAGAGCTTGTTTGTATTTTTGTATCACCTTACTTTTGGTATTGCCTTGCTACAAGCAATTAATAAAATGTACGGTTACCCCAAGAATAATAGTACTTATTATGATCAAGAATTAATTTTATTGAAACTACCAAACTACACAAAAAAGTGCAGAAGGGCAAAAGGGAACAAAGCAGCTGACCCCATAGGGGCCCTGTACATCAAAGGAAAAGAAAAACTGAAAGAAAACATTCAGCCCTTACAGGTTACAGCCTTGCCCTGGGCAGCCCCTTTCTAAACATCTCTCCCCACCCTAGCTCTCACAAGAGGTTCTGCTAACCCATCAGCACTCCTAGGCACCCAATTGAACGAGTTATTCAAAGACCCACCTAGGGCTTGAGCCAATCTCACTAGAGGTCTGAACTTCCAAGGACTTTGGTCTTGCAATAATAGGTCTTACTTTTCTTTATATGGATAATTTTCACAATAACATGAGGGTCTCAAACCATATTTTACAGATCTTTTCCTTTTTCTGTTGGTACAAAACATGAAAGATAAAACACAATTGCATTTCTGCAACATATAAAGCAGTCATATTTGACTTGTATATTAAGACCAACCACAAGATAAATATCCAGGTCTGCTAACATGATTCTATTTTATTTTTTAAGCCTTTTTGAATTCCAATTGGACCTTTTTGGTCAATCACATTATCAAGGAACGCACAGGAGGTGCATAGTTTCAATCACCTATACATGTTTAATTTTAGAATAGCTAGTTTCTTATTCAACAGAACCCTTATTCCTGGTACAGTTTTAGTAAATGAGTGTCGTCACCATATGTTCTTGAATAGGACTTGTAAGAGATGCCCAACTTACTCCAAATGCCCCGGAACCTCAGCTCCTTAACATCTAATCTAATCCTAAATGGGCAAATAGATTAAACATTGAAACATAAATAACCTTTCAATAGTAGCAAGTCTAAAAAGCCACAGGTTTCTTTTAGATAATCAAAGATAGAAAACCACCAAAATCAAATGACAGTGTAAAAGATTATCAAAGAGAAAATCCAACAGGTCATAATTCAATAAGGTGTCGTCTGGTAATTAAAAACTCTAATATATGCAAGTAAATGATGGAATATTTGAAAAAGATTCAAGATTATATATTTGATTGCTATCAACAAGTACAAGGTTTATACATCATGGCAAATGGCAATAACAAGAACAACATTCTAACAATTAAGGATGCCCTTACACATCTGTAGATCATAGCCTAGCAATCTTTATTTTTTGCATTGAGGCAGATGCCTCACTTGAACTGCAAGTTTAGTTTTTGGCAGATTGTGTAACTTAAATGCATAGTAAAATATTACAGCCCTAAAGGTTAAATGGAATCCGGATCTACTGAACACAACAAATTGCTGGCCACGCTCAACCCAGTCGCATATATGGAACATCAGTTGTTTTGTGGTCACCGATATTCTCAATGTGCGGCTGGATGAGTGTGGCCAGCAGATCCAAACGCATTTAAATGACTTGATTTGATGTGTTCCAACACTCATAAGGCCTATGGCATATTGGTCAAGCACCAAACAATTGGTATCAAAGACTACCCCGTGTCATAGATTCAAATCACAGAAAAGGCTGCCTAGTAGAATGGCTTTCTGGAGCAGAGCAAGACCACTAGAGGAAAAGGGCTACCTGCTGCCAGAGTGAGAGCCACCGGGACATTGGCTGCAGAAGAGTGGTGGTATGTTTGCTTTGGCATGTTGGTCGAGAACGTAACACAAAATGTGTATCTTAGACAGGCATATTCAAATGAACACAATTTGAAAACCTCTTTTTTATTTCTTGGTCATTCTTCCCAATTCATTTCTTTTTCTTTTTTATTTTTGACAATTAATACTTCCCCACTGGCTTGGCAAAGAATCTTAAACAGGCATCTACAAATCTTTCCATTTGATTAAGAAAATAATCAAACATTAACATTTCATGAGTAGGGCACAACGTTTAGCGAAGAATAAATGAATGAAGGATCAAATATCGAAAACCTTGAAACATAGTACCTGGAAATGAGTTGCAGGGCAAAAGCATGCGAAACCCAATTTGGAAGACACAGGCGCACAGCCTGCAATGGAATAAAAAAAGGACACATGTGCTCACACCAGAAAAGGGGAAAAGACCGATAGAAAGAGAGAAAGAGGGGAACAGATCTACTGAGAGGGGAGGGGAAATCTACTGATTGGAAGATCAATTAAGAAACAAGGCAAAATACAAGGATGGAGGGCCTGGTGGCGATGGCAAGCTCTCTGGCCGGAAGTCGTCCACAATGGCTTCCCTAATGAAACACTTCTGTTGGAATACTTGAGAAGAAGAAAAAGAAGAAGACGAAGAAGAAGAAGACAAATACCTTGCTATCGCCGCGTGAAGATGCAACCGGAGAGCGCCGGAACTGCTCGCCGGGGGAAGGTCCGGAGCCGGAGGTTTTTAGGGTTAGGATTAGCGTTCGTTCTCCCACGTACAGCTGATCGGACAGCTAAAATAATTTTAAGCCCGCTTAAGGAAAGCTGCTTACTTCAAGCCCTTCCAAACGACCCTTGTATGTCGGGCTACAGTACAGAGCGACTACAGAGCCAGACTAATGACCAATGCCCGTTCAAAGTCTGGTCTGACCGGACAGTTGGATAAGCTGGCCCCCCAGCCCTGCCGATAATTAGTGGGCCTCAACCTTGGGCAGTGTCTGGGCTCTGGGCCAGCCCATATGCAAATCACTACTTACTTCATAGGATTCTACTCTCTAGCTGGAAAAACAGACCCCTTTTATTTGGTAAAAGAAAACTTATTACTGCAGCTGCAGCTGGAGAACAAAAAGAAGATGGAGGAGTACAGCGGTTTCATAGATATAGTATGTGTTTGGTATAGCTTTTGTTTATTCACTAAATGTTTGTATTTGATTTATTTGCAAAATCGAGAAAAGTAAGAATAAAACTGTTTATTAATAATTAGGCGCCATTAGGCATCACATTAGCAAAATAGTAAATAAATGTTTACCCATTTGGGGAAACGCTAAAATGAAGCCTCCCCCAATGGTAGGCGTACACATAAACTGAAGCCTGCTTTTGCAAGCCTCTATGCATAGGGATCAATATGATGGGCTAAATGCTGAAGTGATGCCTATGTGACAGCGTTTATTGAATAAACACTCATAGTTCCAAACACCACTATAGTCAAATACATATAGAGGGAAGGGTCTACATCTACCCATTCCCCCCGAGGTTCCATGACAGTATTAAATACATGGGCCTTGCATCTTTTATAGTGGGGCCCATGAATTTACTATTAGCATGGAACCTCATCATTGGTTCCACAGCCTGTTGAACAGCTAAAGCATTCAGCTAATCTGATTTCCCAATGAATTGATAATGATCCTCCAAGCTTAGCCTAGATGTCTCCTAGAATTGCTTAGACTTCAAAACTAACACAATTGCATCCACCCTTCATAATATTCATAAAGGCTGTGTTTGGTTATAGTGCAATCTTATTTGCATTAGTATAAACGCATAGGAGTGCAAATGAAAAGAATGCAAATTCTGGTTTATTTTTGTTTTGAAAAGTGTTTTCAACCTGTCATTGACCCGGCCGGATAAACCGTTGCTCGGCCAGGATTCTGGGCCAAATGGTCAAAAACCATTTGACCCGGCCAGTTTGACTGTTGACCCATTCAACTCGGTGACCAGGCCAGGTTGTAGGTTGCACACTCGATGCATTCAAACTTTCGAAGGCCATAACTTTGCACTCTAGTGTCCAATTGATGTGATTTTTTTTTATTTTGGGTAACCTTTCGAGATCTATGCATCCGTAGGCGCCTTGTCCCGCATTTTTCATGGAAAAAAAAACCTTGTGGCCTCAAATTGCAATTTTTAATATTTTTATAAATAAAAAATTAAAAACTGATTTAAAAAACATAAATTAAATATAAAAATACAAATAACATTTCTAAAAAAATATTTATATATAAATAAATATATATTTGTATACTTTAAATACAAGTGGGACGGTCTGACCCATTCGACCCGGATGATCAAACCAATGACCGTGACCTAGAGCAAAAAAATGGTTTGGCCTCTTGGGTGTTTAAAACATTGATTTTGAATTTTATTCCATTCTGTTTCATGTCTTATTTTACTTCATTTATACTTTTATCAAACAAAATAAGGTAAAGTTTAAAACAAAAATAAATCAGAATTTGCTTGTTTTTTAGCCAGACGAACCCCTAGTAAAGAAGCAAAAAATTCAGAAAACAAGGTTGATCTTGGTTTATCATTAAAAGTTGCAACAGCACATAAAGCTCCATGCATCTTCCCAAATTTTGATATTCTCCCCTCAACCAACACTCCAAAAGCAACTTTTTACAAATACATCCCTTCCTTTATAGAATACTGGACCACCCCAAGAATCATTCTTTCCTGATTTTGTTTCAAAGAAGTTTGTACTGTGGACGTATCTAGCTTTAAGAACCTAAGCCCATAAAGCATAGGGATCCTTAACCAATCTTCAAGCTTGTTTTGCTAACAATGCAAGGTTAAAACCTCTAGGGTCTCTAAGTCCCATGCCCCCCTGTTTTTTTGCCTACAACCCCNCCACCCCACCACCACCACACACCTGACCCAATTAATCCCCTTATTATTATGAGAGTGGCCCCACCAAAAGTGTTTTCAGATTTTCATGATATCTTCGCAAATTCTTCGAGGTAAATGAAAACATGACATAAACTCGAAGAGCACTAATAAATGATTTCAAAAGCATTTCTTTACCAGTTAAATTCAGATATTTTTCCCTCTAACTCTTTGGCTGCATTTGGATGCGATGTAAATCAAGAATCGATGTAAAATTTATACCAGTTCGATTTTATAGGTATTTGGAAAGAGGGTATAATTATTATTGACATAAAACTCCACTCTGGTTCAGTTTTACGAGCGTTTGGATAGAGTGAAGTTTTATGTCGATTATCGATGTAAAACATCATCAGCTCTAAAGTTTTATATTGATAATCGATGTAAAAACTACATGATTTTATCGATGTAAAACTTTACACACTTTCATCCATTGCGATTTTCAAAAAGCAACAGTCACTTTTATGGTTCAGTGTAAAACGTCACCTGTGTATTTTTACACCAATGACATTTTACATTGATTCCAAATGCAGCCTTTTGTCTTTTCTCATGACCCTTTTCAGTACAAAATTAAAAACTTCTCTTTTTGACCTCCATATCAGCAGGAAGCCCCAAATAGATTCCAGGTTTATCCACTCTCTTAACCTTGAGCACTTTTGAAAGCATCTTTCTGAAACTTTGGAGGGGTATTTAAACTGAAGTGCAGCTCTGACTTCTAAAGGTTTACCATCTGACGTGAAGCCCTCTCATAGTCTTTAAGAAAGTGAGCTTTCTCATCACACTCTCTAAGCCCAGCTTTCAAGAAAAGTAACTTTCATATGCAAATAGTAGATGGAAAATGACAAGGGAGTACATGTTCGTTTTAATACCACTTATTTTACCTTGTTCTTGTAGATTTAAAATAAGAAAGGGGATAAGAAGTCCTCTTGTAGGATTAATTTCCACCATGGGGGAGGCCTTAACCAAAACCCTGAAAGAAATAGAAGAAATTTATTGCCGAATCCAGCCTCTCCAAATGTCTCTAATCCCCTTCCTAATCATAATCTTATCAAAAAAATTCCGCTCCACCCTTGTAGGCCTTTGACATGTTCAATTTTAAAGCCATATATCACTTATTACTAATTGTATCATTAAGAACAATCTTCAATAGTATTTAGTATTTTCATTCTCGCTTTGCCAATTAACTGATGCATAGGCTCTATCAAGCCTTTCCTCGACAAGACCATTTCCACAGACATTAGCCCGGGTGTAAAGCCCAATTCAGCTAGGTTACACTATCGTACATCGTTTGAGCTTTCATTAGGCTTCTTTGAGAGGGGGTCAAGCCCCTTTTTTGTCCACTTGGGAGGTGATGCAATTCTAGTCCTCTATACACAGAATGGGCTTGTCCAAATTGGAAAACACCGTTTCCACGAAATTGTAAGAATCCCATCTGCTATTGTGATCAGGTTCTCCATAAGCCCAAAAGCATAGCCAAGCTTTATTATTTTCATCCTCAATCTCAGTCAAAATACCGTATTTATGATCAGAAATTACTCTTACCTTTACCCTGGGCCATGGGCTATGTCGGGTCGACTCCTAAGTTATCCCAGGGGAGGGCGGTATGGCACGGCCCACACAAAGTGCGGGCCACTCACGGGTCATGCTATGTCAGCCCAGCAAGGCCCGTTTTACACCTCTAATATTAGGTTACTTAAATTAAATTTAACAAGTTACTAGTTTAGAAATTTTTATTTAGTTAAAAAATCAGCCAAAATAATGCACATTACCTCTATTTTATATTTTATGTTATTTTAAATCTAAAACTACTTTATGGGTCTCACTTGACATTATTTTATAAAATTTGGACATATATGAAATTTTCTTTTATAAAATGGTTGTTGAGCCCTACGTAAAAAATTTTGGACATAATTTGTGGGTTTTATATGAAATTGAAGGTTTATTATCTAACATTTTTCTATATTAACATGAATAGATATTTTAAAATACATATGATATGTCACCACATTTCTTTTAAAAATGAAGATATATGAAAAATGTTTTCAAAAAACTAGTGGGCCCTATATAAGAAATTTGAACATAAATAATGAGTTTCACATGGAGATAAAGGCCTATTATCTAATGTTTTTATTAATATGAATAAGTATTCCAAAATATGAAAACATGTTACCACACTGGATTAACAAGTGGGCCAAAATCCTTACTCGTTTTTTGATACAAATTAAACAGCTTTCTATCTTAAATATCATTTTGGCACATTCATGCCCTATCTTGGAAAGAATGTACTAAATAGATCAATAAGCATTACATATGTATTTTGACTAAAATCATGTTTGGAATGATTTTAATACAAATATTTATACTTATATTGGGTTATGCAAGAACCACTTTTAGAGGAAATACCATCTAAACATTTCTTGTTGAAGATGTATTTTGTCATATGTGGCATTTAATGACAATTAGTGCTCTCATATGAATTAAAAGCTGACATACCATTTAAACATTCCCCATCTCCTAGTTCCTCCTCTTCACAGTATATAAAAGGTTCAGTTTGGAATGAGTACAAATATAAATGTATATGGTGCAAATACATACAAAATAATACAAAATACAAGGCTTAGAGTACAAATACAAATACGTAGAGTGAAAAACCTAGTATTTTGTATTATTTTGAATGTATTTGCATTGTACATTTTTGTATTTGTATTCCTTCCAAACTGAGCCTAAATGAAAATGAAGTTACAACAATGAAAGGTTAACATGTTATCCCAAGCAGGACGGACAGTTTTGATCAAAACTACCCTTGATGCTGTTCCCATGTGTCCATTGCAAACCGGTTTTCTATCCAAAAGCACATGTAATGAAATCAATGCCATCTGACGTGACTTTTGGTGTAAGAAGGAAAAAGGAAAGGGAGCCTATGTGAAAGCTTTGAGTACTTAGGCCATGTTTGGGAGTGCTTATTTAAATTAAGTGTTTATTTGGGCCATTAAGCAATTATTGGTATTTGGAAAATAAGCCTGATATAAGTGCTTATTTTAAAAATAAGGACTTATTTTTTAAGTCCAAATTTTCAGCTTTTTTTAAGTGTTAATATAATAAACACTTATTTAAGTTTTTTCTTTCAAAATTATTCCTAGTTGAATTTTAAAATACCACTTATAAAATTATCCCTAGTTGAATTTTATAAAAATACTTTTATGAAAGCACCTTTATAAAAGCACTTTTAAAAAATACTTTTATGAAAGCACTTTTACAAAAGTACCTTTATGAAAGTTTTTTTAAATGCACTTTTATAAAAATACCACTTATAAAATTATCCCTAGTTGAATTTTATAAAAGTATTTATGAAAGCACTTTTACGAAAGTACTTTTATAAAAATGCTTTCATAAAAGTACTTTCATAAAAGTACTTTTATAAAAGTGTTTTTGTAAAAATTCTTTCATAAAAGTACAAGTGCTTTTATAAAAGTACTTTCTTAAAAGTATTTTTATAAAAGTACTTTTATAAAAGTTCTTTGAAAGGGTATATTTTGAAAATTTGAAAGAAAATGAAGGACAGATAGTCATAAATGCTTATTTAAGTGCTTACTAGAGAAAAAGAATACCAAACGCCCAATAAAAAGTTGGATGTCAAATGCAAATAAGTGCTTATTTGAATAAACATTTGTTTTTAAGCACTTATTTTTAACTTAAGTACTCCCAAACATGGCCTTAATTTTCTAAAACCAAAGGATAGTGGGGGTTTTGGTATGGTTGACATAGAATGGAGGAACATTGCACTCATGATGAAGCTGGTTTGATGTTTCTGCACCCAGCCCCAATTTCTCTGGTGTAAAGTACTCTTGCAAGCAAAATATATACCTTAACATTGGGTACTTCTAGGAGCCTAATGTGAAAGGTAATCTCTCATACACGTGGAAATGTATCCTGAAATGTAAGGAACTCTTCTCTGGGAGATCAGCTTCGGTGCTCACAAGACCATGTTCACATCATTCATATATCCTTTTACACCATGCATTGGAAATACCTCCCTACTTGTAGTTATATGTTACTTTTCGTAGTGAGATATTCCCAATGCAAGGCTGCAAAGGACTGTATGAACAACGGTGTAAGCACTTAAGCTAATTTCCTCTTTTCCAAGGTTGTACATGGCTTATAGGAAACGGATGGTTTGTTCATGCTCTCTCTGATCATTGGGTACTGAATCACAAAGAATTATAGTATAGGTAGATTGATAACCCAGCACAATATAGGGTTGCCCACTTTATTATCAATCATGATTCCATGACATGAAGACTTGAGGCTCTTCATCAGATGTTCAATGTCCAAACAGTCACTAAGATTCTAAGCATTCAGCTTCCAGTCTAGGGGAGTCAATTTGACTGGATTTGGTCCAACCCAATCCAGTCCAATGTGAGTCCATTACAAATGGATCATGTCCAATCCAATCTAATGATATTTTGGACCAGTGCAATTCAATATCTAGACCGTCCAGTCTGTTCAAATATGTTTTAATTTAGATTGGTTGTATCCAAACCTGATCCATTGACACCCATATTTATCAATGGGCTAAATATCGGCTCAATCCAACCCAATCCAATATAAATTCATTATGGATGGACCAGGTTCAATCCAATCCAATAAACACTTTGGACCATTAAGCTTAAACTGGTCCAGTTCAATATGCCTTGTTGGTCCATCCAAATTGATTTGGTTTGGATGGGTCCAATCCAAAACCGGTCCATTGACACCCTTATTTTCATCCACAGCCCAGGATGTCCTTCCAATGACAAGCTGGTATGGCACCTTACCCCACAGAGAAAATATACAACATCATCAGGCTTGAAGATGTTGACTTAAGCATGGTGGGAGCACCCAGTTATCCCTCTCCACATTAAAATGTTCATTTGAAGAGCTATTGAATGGTTGATGATCCATATTGTAGTCTTTGTGGGGATGCTATTGAAACAATTGATCACCTCTTCCTATATCCTGCCCTTGTGTATGTCCAACCTTTCTGGTTTGAAGCATCTTGAATATCCATATGGACCAGCACCAAGGTATGAACCTGAGAGACTGGATATAGTTAATTGGTGGTCAATTGATGATGAAAGACCTCATTCAACTTATATATTTTGCTTTTGGGCACCATGATGATGTGGTTCATTTAGTACTTCAGAAACACAAATTAAAGATTTTTGTCACAAAAAGTTTGGTCCAACCTCAGGCGTTTTGCAATCTAAAGCTCATGCTGACACAGTGCTCCTCCATGCTAGATGATCAGCAACACCTCTGAGAATTTTGGCAACCAATAATCCCACCCAAAATCCTCGATCGTTGGACCAGATCTCACCACCAGTCGGTTAAAATTAACGTTGATAGTGTTGTTGGTCCAAATACAGTTGGTGTTACAGTTTGTGATTTTAAGGAGGTTGTTGACTTCTTTATCATTAATTATATATATACAATAACATCACATTTACTTTCTTATTTTTTGTTTTCTTCTCTTACATTATTATACACTATTTAAGGAGAAATTAGACTTAAATCAATAAAATCAATAAAAAATGATTATATATTAAAGGCCTATTTGGTGTGTCTTTTTGGAAAGATATTTTGGTAGTTTTGACAGTTAAAAGATGTATTGAGCTTTTATATAAAGCTTTGAGCAGCCTGAAGCACATTTGACAGACATGCATCTTTCCACATCTTTCCGCACGAGAATAAAACATGAAAGACACGAGAAGCTTCATTTGAAACTTCCCGAAATCAGCCCAAAATGAACTTTTTGCGTTTTTTTAACGTTACGTCATTTCGGTCTTCCCAATTTATAAACAATCAAAAGACCGCGTGAAAAGACATGCCAAACGGGCCCTAATTATATGAGGCAACTATGCTTAATTTATCGTTTTGTTTGAGATTCACCATTTATTCAATATTTTTAATTTGGGTTCTTTATTTATTTAATTAAATCAAATTCAATATCAAAGTGATAACCTATATCCTAAAAGATTAAGACCCTCCACATCATTTTAAGTCTTTATAACGATTTTTTTTATTTAAATTAGGAAATTAAATTAAAAATATTAATTCAGACCCATATCTTTTGAAATGTGTGCTGTTTTATAGGTAGATAGTACCTTTTTTTAATGTGAAGTTAACTACTTTTAGTTTTTCTAAGAGAGGGTATACACGTGGTTGAAGTTAGGAAAGAATAAGTTTTCACGGATCTACCACCAGTTTCGGGGCATGTGGAGAGACGGAGTGAGTGTTAGAGTTAAGTTTAGCGGGGGTTTAGATCGTAAAACCAAGTAGAAGGAATTATTGTTGATACCCGACCTAAACGCCGACCATCTCCATTAATGGTGGAAAGATATAATTTTTTTTTATTAAATTCTATGTGCTTTTTGTTATTACAACGACAACGATACATAGCCTCTTGTTCTTCTTCCTATTCAATTGAAAAATTCACCAATAGATGACACGGAGGGATTAGTTCCAAATCCATAATCCAAGGGAAGGTTTTGATCTTTGAAGCGGAGCCGAACAAAACAAAGAGATCGATTACAGATACAACGACCAATTTGAAGAATTATGTTATGTAAATTGCGGATCAATTTGAAGAATGAAGATTGATCACGATCTTGTAGGAGGAACCAAAAGAGCAGATCGAGCTTTGGTAGATGTATAGAATGAAGGTTTGAATATTAGGATCGAGAATTAGAGACGTATAGGAGATTGAGAGATTGTAGATGATTGAAGAGAATTAGTAGCAATTTCTTTTTCAAGGTTCAAAGTTAGGCCGAGATTTTGAGGTAGAATAAAGGATTGATCAAGAGAAAGATAGAGTGTTGAAATGAGTGGTGTCAAGCCAATGAAATTTGATGATGAACAACTTGCTGAATTAAGGGAGATATTCCGATCATTTGATCGGAACAATGATGGTAGTTTAACCGAACTTGAGCTTGGGTCGCTACTGAGATCGCTAGGCCTGAAACCAAGTCAAGACCAACTTGACAGTTTAATCCAGAAGGCTGATATGAACAGCAATGGCCTTATCGAATTCTCTGAGTTTGTGGCCCTAGTATCACCCGACCTGCTCTGTACAAAATCTCCATATACTGAGGAGCAACTCCAAAAGTTATTCCAAATATTCGACCGTGATGGCAATGGATACATTACAGCAGCAGAATTGGCACACTCCATGGCCAAGCTTGGTCATGCTCTAACAGTAGAGGAGCTGACAGGAATGATCAAGGAAGCGGACACCGATGGAGATGGTCGAATTAATTTCCAAGAATTTGCTCAGGCCATTACCTCTGCAGCATTTGACAACGCATGGAATTGAAAATGTTGGATATTACTGGTTTGTCTTCTTTTCATCCTTTTTTTTTCTCTTTTCACTGTTTTACACAACTTTTTTAGTTTCTTTGCATTGTTTGTTTCTAGTGTACTATCATATGAACACACTACCTAGAATTAATCAAAAGTCAATCAATTGTTTTAGAGAATGGATTGTAAGGAGTTGTGCAAATTCATTTTTAAAGTTTAGATGTTGATTTCAAAGATTATCTTATATATATCTAGAAGAAAATCTTGGTAAGGCAAAGATCTAATTTGTCAATCCATTTCCCTTATGTTGCACAAAAAAAAAAAAAAACATGTCTAAGAAAGAATGATACTATTGGAAAGTAAAAGCATCTACTTAAATACTTTTTCTTAATAAAAATAATATGCTATTTATGTCTTTATAAATAGAATTGTGGATACTCATAGGAAAAAATTATCAAAATAAAAAAGAGATATTGTATCAAGTAGAGAACAATAATTTTTGTCTATATCGTAAAGTATTTTAGTGTAAAAGCAAGTGAAAATAAATAACACTATTAATCATAAATAATATATGGTATTTGGATTATTATTTGTATATTAGAAAATAATGATAGATGGAAAAAAACTATTAGAATATATCCAAGGGAGGTATTATATTATTAAGTGAGAGTTTTGTAAATAAACTAATTAAAATTTATAAGGTGGGGTAAAGTGAAGATTTATCCAACTTTTATGAGTTCTATAAAAACCTAGGCAAGTATATGCTTTGTGAAGTATATATTTTCATTCAAAAAAACAAATAAAAATAAGTTAATTAACAAACATATAATATACAATATGTCTTCCTAAAAAAATTTCATTAATCTTACATATGAAAACATACATTTACACAATTGACTATGATAAAAAATGCATCGTTCATTTTTGATAAATTATTTACACGAATAAGTGTTTCCTAGGTAACACTTTTTCGAGTAAATATATTTATCTATATTCATTTAATTTAACTATAAAGTTTGTTAATATAAATTGGTTAATTCACCATATTTACCCATATATTCTATTTTTATAAGGGATAATTTTATCTTACTAGTGTGTTTCTAATTTTCCACTTAAGTGAAAAAGTAATTTATCAATCTATGAAAAGGGTATCACTTACTTGGAAATGTAATACACGTCAAATACCATTTAAGTGCACTTACCCAAATAAGTTGCTCATGTTTTTTCTGTTCCCGCATACAATAACTTTTTTATTCATAAAAAACTCATTATTAGAATGGGCAAATTTGTCTCATTATTTTTATCAATTTTTCCACAAAGTGGAAATGTTAATTATCCACATATGAGATGAGTAATACTTAGGAAAAGAATTTTAGTGTAAGGTCCAAAACTTAGCTAAAAATTTAACACAAAAATTTTGGTTAATGAGAACCACTTTTCTATTGGGATAAACATTATAAATCAAATGAATGCGAAAAATTAGTCAAAATTTTCATCAATTAACTTCTCCCTTAACCTATTAAAACCAAGCCCAATCCTAATTCTTTCCACAATAGTGTGTATTCGTTTATCTACATTATTGTGTTGTGTCTTAAAAATTAATTGTTTAATTCTAATGTCATGACTCATATAATACTCATTCAAAGGACTAATGTATTTACTTTTATTATTTATACTAATATATTTAAAAGTTTTCCTAGTTTATTTTAACTTGTATTAAATTCTTTAAATATTTTTAAGCATCATTCTTATATTTCATACTATATGTCTACATAATTCTAAAAGCATCATTTTTAAAAATGTATAACGATATAATGCCACATTTAGGAGTGTTTCTCTAACTACTTTTTTGTGCTTTTTCATGCTATGAAAGTCAAAATCTAGTAAAAAAACAGTTGATGAAAAAATCAAAATAGAATTTTTGCATAAAAACTCATTTGAGAAAGAAAAAACTATGATTTAGCTTTCAAATTTGCAAGAAAATATTTTGAAAAAAAAATATAGTAATTAGTTAAAGATAAAAATACTTCTTTCTTTCAAAATATTTAAAAAAAAAAACTATTCAGGTAAAAAATAAGTCCCAAATACAGTTTAGGAAGCATATGTTGCATGTATCGTGATGTATTAGAAATGGAATACTCAATGGCGGATCTATGTAAAACTCAGTGTGGGCAATTTCCCCGATTGAGATTTGAAAAAAGGTTTGATATAATTATAAAAATTATGAAGAAATTTATTTTTTTCACAATTGGCCCTAGTCAAATAAAATAATACAGAGTCAAATAAAATTTGTCTTCATAATGGGGGTCATTTTTTAAAAGGTGAATAGGTAAAAAAAGGGAAAATTCTCGATTAGTACCCTGTACTTTGGCTCAAGTGATAATTTGGTCCCCGAACCTTAAAATGCGACAATTCAATACCCGAACTTTCAAAATGTGACAATCTAGTACATACCGTTAACCAATCCGTTAATCAGCCGTTAAGTGACATTTGAAAAGTCAAAAATGCCCTTCGAATGCCATCTAATTCTCTTTATCAACCATCCAAACGTTGACAAAAAACTAAACAGTCTCAAATCCTAGCCTCTTCAATTCAAAAAAGTTGGTGACTATTTAGAAGAATCTAGAATTTGAGACTGTTCATTTTATTGTCAATGTTTTTATGGTTGATAAAGAGAATTAGATGGCATTCTTAGGGCATTTTTGACTTTTCAAATGTCATTTAACGACTGATTAACGGGCTGGTTAACGACAGGTATTGGATTGGCACATTTTGAAAGTTCAAGTACTGAATTGTTGCATTTTAACGTTCGAGGACAAAATTGTCACTCGAGCCAAAGTACAAGGTACTGATCAGGAACTTTCCCTTATAAAGAAAACGTATACAAGAATGACACATCTCTATTTCATATTGACCAAGTTATGAGGTTTGGGATCTAAGATTTTAACTTATATGTTTTTATGTCCTTTGCTTTTTTGTCAATTAACATCCCTCAACAACTCAATCTCATCTCTACTTCATTTCCTCTAACCTAGAGATGATAATTTTCCTTGTCCTCATTGGGTACCCATGGGCCCATTTTTGAAACCGAACCAGTATTACCAGTTTCTGGAAAATCTGTAATTGAAATCGAACCGAAGTCAATCGGTTAACCGATTGACCGATTTGGTTTGTTGGTTGTTTGGTTTTCTTATATTTACAAGATATATTATAAAAATATATAAATATATATATTTGTATATAACGCATATTTATTAATTTATAATATATAGAAAATATACAATATATATAAATATATATATATATAGTATACATAAAGATAAATAAAATATATAGAAATACATGTATATCAGTTAATTCGGTTAACCATCGGTTTTTTATATTGGTTAATTGAAACCGAACCGGTACTTTTAGTTTTTTAAAAATACCAAACTGATCGGTTCGATTAACCGGATTTTCGATTCGATTTGATTTTTTTTCTTGCTCACCCCTACCTAGAGATGACAATTTTCCTTGTCTTCATTGGGTACCTATCCTCCCTACTAGATACCCTGCCCCCACTGATCAAAGGTCCTAGATCTGCCGCTACATGTCTAATGTAATTTTTCTTGAAATATTCTTCAAATAGATCAATGTATTTACTTTTATGATCAATACAAATACATTTAAAGGGTTTTCATATCTTCCTACCTTTAGAATAAAATTGTTTTAGTTTTTTTCCAAAACATCTTTATATTTAATAGCATACCCACACTTTTTTATAAGTACTATCTATGAAGGTAATAATATAAGAAATATTACTAAGTGTTTTAACATTCTTAAGATCATTCACAATAGAATAAATTAATTCTAACACATTAATTTTTTTGGAAAGTTATTTCACTTTTATTATTAACTAAAAATGCAAAGTAATGATAATGAACTATGTCTAATGAAACAAATACAGAACACAACAATACCACTGCACAACAAAGTTTTGAATGTAAAAATCCCCTCAAAGTAAGGGTGAAACCATGTGATTGAAATCCAAAAATTTTCTACTATCAATGTGAACAATATAGTTATAATCTCTCTAATTTTCTTCTAGCCCCAAACTTTACTCCAAGTGTAGGGGTAGCCACCTTATAATTTTATTAAAAAACCACTATGACATGAATATATATATGGACCTCGCCTTACCCCAAACCAGAGATACAAAAGCTTTCTCTAACATTCTTAAGCCTACCCAAGGAAAAGAAAACACACTTATGCATTACTTGGAATAAGAAAACCATTACAATCATTGACCTTTGACCAAGTTTTTAAAGGCAAATCATTGATGTCCAAGAAAAAGAAATCGAAGGCTAAGCCAGTTCTCCAATTGGCAAGCAAATTAACTAGTCTATTTTCTTCTCTGTAGATGTAATGAAACATCACATTAAGTTGCGAAACTAGTTGCCCAATTTCATAAACCAAATACAGAACATTCCAAGGATGAGACTTGCCCGAATTGAGAAGATTAACTAAAGCAACATTGTCACATAGGGGTGGTCATGGGTCGGGCCGAGCATAGCACCAATGATAAGAGCTTTAAGCTAAGACCAGGCTCGGCCCAATCCACACCTTGGGCCTAGATTGCATGCCCAAGCCTGGTCCTACATAGGCTCGAGCCAGGCTTAGGAGCTTTCCAAGCCTAGCGAGTAATGACTTTGAGCCCATGACATCAAATAATAAATTTAATTTTTTTAATTTTTTAAATTAAATAATATGTAAATGTAATAGATACAAAAAAATAACACAAGCCAAAGCTAAATTGGGCTTGACTAGGCTTGGGTTATCTATCCTTTTATAGATGAAGGCAAGGCCCTCATTCCTATTTTTGATCAATGTGGGATTGGAACAACACTAAATAGTTAGTACAACCATTTCCCAAGTCTCATGTTGCTTAGGAATGAGAGTGAAGGCTTTGCCTTTATCTATAAAAGGCCTTAGGAGGACAATTCTTGTACTTGGATTGACTAGAGTGTTAACATGTTT